CCCAGCACAGGTTAAACGGTGGTAGAGAGAAATCACATAATGCCCAACTACCGGTTAAACGGTGGTAGAGAAAAATGACATACTGCCCAGCTACCGGTTGAACGGTGGTAGAGAAAAATGACTTAATGCCCAGCATCGGTTGAACGGTGATAGAGAAAAATGACTTAATGCCCAGCATCGGTTGAACGTGGTAGAGAAAAATGACTTAATGCCCAGTTAACGGTTGAACGATGGTAGAAAAAAATGACATAATGCCCAGTTAACGGTTAAACGGTGGTAGAGAAAAATGACTTAATGCCTAGTACCGGCTGAACAGTGGTAGAGATTCTCCGCGGAATCCATCCTTCAGATCTACAAATCAACAATTCGCCCTTGCATGGAGTATTGCTGCCATATATGGTCTGGAGCCCCTTCTGTTTGCCTTGGGGTTCTTGATAGGCTCCAGAGGTGGATATGCAATATAATTGGTCCTGATCTGGCATCTCGTCTACAGTCACTTTCTCACAGACGCGCCGTCGCCTCTCTCTGTCTGTTTTACAAATACTTTCATTGCAATTGCTCCGAGGAGCTGCATTCGCTGGTTCCCAGACTTCATGAGTTCAAGCGACCGACGAGACTCCCTTCCCTATTCCAGTTTCTCTGAGAGCTATAATCTTCAACTATTCAAATGTAATGTCAATCGACATCTCCAGTTGTCTTGATCTATCCACTATCCTTCTCCTCATCCTTTCCATATCACTCCTATCTGATCTTGCTCCAAATCTTCTGTAACCCCTTGCGTCCTAAAAAAAAATGACTTAATGTCCAGCAACCGGTTGAACGGTGGGTAAACACTTGTAACCATTTGTATATCTACCGTGAAAGATTACATAAAAATTATTTGTGAATTTTGACTTAGGTGCTCAGGCAAAAGGGTTAAAATTGTTCAGGATCGCAGGGCTTAAATGGTTAAAGATTAACGTCAACCCAGATTAAGCTAAGCATGCAAATTTTAAATGTTAAACGAGCAAAGAAAACCTGATTAATGTTTCGACACTTCATTTTGTTTCTTTTTTAATGATGCTAATTTAAATGAATGCTGAGTAATCTCATAACATATAAAGAAGAGACATGCAGCAAGATAGATGTGGTTCTACAGAACGATGATGTGTATGCCAGGGACTGAACATGTCAGCAACAACGAAAGTCTAGAAAATACTGAGAGAAAAAGGACACTAACATATTGATGCATCAAAAAATAGGCAACTGAAATTTCTAGGGTGACAAAAGAAAGAGGGAATAATAAATTGGACAGTGGACATAATGAAAGCGAGAAGGACAGGGGTAAGCAACACATAACCTAACTAATGAACTTGTGTAAACGGATGGTAGAAATATTTACAGAAAATTCACAATCACATATGATCTCATAAAATATTATTAACAACACTGTAATCCGGAATAATTATAGGATTTTATTAAAGCTCCTTCATATTTACCTGAAGACATAGTATATTTTTACGAACTTCTGATATACTTACTATTTTATACAAAGTGCCAAACGATACAAAAGACTATTACGTGAATTACGACTAAATCCAAAACTATTAGGATATTGAATAAATTTTCGCTGATTTTTCCATGAAAACTAATGTTTTATTTACAAAGATTTATAAAAAAAAACATGCCACTGAAAGTATTGTCCACTACTTATTCCTATATTTCTAGCAGTATTTGAATTTCACGTCGGAAAAACGACACGTCTTTTGAGGCTAACCATATATCAACCCATTTTTCGGAACAAGTGATAATCAGACGGGGTCTTATGAATACGTCAGGTGCGGTAGGATTTCTCATTTAAGCGTTTCCAAGTAGGTTTTCACCCGTTTTTCAAAACGTGGCCTCAGGTTTTCATGTTGCAAAATCACTTTGCCGTGTCTCTGTTCGTATAGCGGCCGTTTTTTTCTTCAATTCTCGGCTCAAACCCATCAATTGTAGTCGATAGATATCTCCCGTAATGGTTTCGGCCGGTTTGACCAGCTCATAATAAACTACACCCAGCTGATCCCCGGAAGCTTTGAACCATGGATGTTCGGCTTTGCCATCGATGTTGACGCATGGTTGGGCTTACACCACGATCTTCTGCAGTTAGGGTTATCGTATTGTATTCCCTTTTCATTGCCAGCCACAATACGATGCAAAAAACCGTTTCTTTTCTGTCGTTGAAGCAGCTGTTCACACGTGATAAGTCACCATTCGACGTCTCTCGGCTTCAACTCATATGGCATCAAATTTCCTCGCTTTTGAATCATTCCTATTACTTTGAAAAGTTTTGAAGCTGTTGTGTGATCAACTCCTAATGAATCTTCAAGTTCAGCTTGCGCCTGAAACGAGTCTTCATTAATGACTCCAATTCTTCGTCTTCAAACTTTTTCAGTGCGCCAAAGCGATCTTTATCTTCAACATCAAAATCATTATATTTTAAGCGTCTAAAGCAATCTCTGCATGTTGTTTCCGAAAGAGCATGGTCATCGAAAGTCTCAA